AAAAAAATCCCAAAAATGTGGATTATTTGAAAATCTAAAAAACTTCAAAAACAATGAGTTAATTGCGTTTTTTCCACAAAAAAAAAAAAAATTACCAACCATGATTAGGAAATGTACAGGTTTTACAAAATTTTATAGCTTTAAGCTTGAACTTTTCTCTAGTCTCAACGTATTGTTTGTTTTTGCAAAAAATATTTTTTAAAGAATATTTTTAGGATTTTTTGACATTCGGTACAATTGAAATTAAAAGTGAACAAAAAACATTTTTCGTAAAGAAAAAATAAGTTTATTTATACAGGAAATGAATTTCACTTTTAAAGAGCGATAACATTTTTAAACTATAATCTTATCAATATTATCACACAATGACCACCACCTCCACCACCACTGCCACCGCTGACACCAATCCATCATTGCCACCTCCTACACTGCATCCATCACCACTCTATCACCACCATTACCACTCCACCATCCACCACTCACCACCTCCATCGCTGTCACCTCTATTACCATTCTACCACTATCATTACCACTACCACCTCAACAACACCAATACAACCATTAGCACATTAGTTTTAAAATCGTAACAAACAACAAAAAATATTTTTTACAAAAAAAAATTATTTAAAAAAAAAATCTGTATTGAAAAGTATTTTTCAATAAAACAAACATAACAGTAAATTGAAAAATGAAATTATATAAAGGAATTTCATTAAAAGTAGTGCCTTTTGTCACCAACAAATTGCTAGGGAATTTCTGATTTGTGGTCTTTATGTTGCATCCAAATTCCAAACTTCAATTGAACTAAATAAAAATTGACATTTTTGATTAAATTAGTTTCTCTTATGGTTTGATCACATATAGTACAACTTAGCAGATAAAAATGGAACTTGTTTGGAGAGACAGAAAAGAGTCGTGGAAACGGGAAAACTTCCTCGGATAATAATACATCATACATGTTTGCTGTTTCTAATTATTTAATTCAAAACTAGAAGTAAACAAATTATTAATCTCATTCAAAACAAACTCTCTCTCTCTCTCTCTCTCTCTCTCAATATTTAAGTTTGGCAAATAGAAATTATTCAATTCCTCCTTGAATTCAACCTGTAACAGTCTCATTCCCCTTTTACACAATTCTGACTGTTGCAGACTCTCTCTCTCTCTCTCATGTTCAACTTTTCAGATTGTGTTATTTGTTTGATTTTGACACTACCATCATGAGATTTTCCTTTCCTTATCATGCATTTACATTGCTTGTGTCTCTCTCTCTCTCTCGTTATATGTATATGTTTTTAGTTTGTTGGTTGGTCTAATTGTCTGTCATAGTCTTTCTTTCTTTATTTTTTTCTTTCTTTCTTTCTTCCTCTTGATGAATTTAAGCTTTGGTGGAGAGTGATTTGGTAGTGAAGCTCAAATCTGTCCTTTCCTACAAAATCCCAGAGAGGCTGCTTTGCTTACCTCATTAGGATTGCCCTAGTGAGTGAGTCCCAACCCTCTCATTGGTACACTCCCTTTTCTTTCGGGTAATCATCTTCTATCCTTGATGTTATCTTCTCTCCTCTCCCATATCTCTAAAGCTACATCACCCAGATCTCTCTCTCTCTCTCTCTCTCTCTCTCTCTCTCATCTACTAGCATGCTCTATTACTACTACTACTACTAGTCTCATTTCCTTTTTGCTTTCTTTCTCATTAATTCCTAGAAAGAGACTAACACACCATATACAGCAAAACCCTAGCTACAAACTTCTTTGATTTTCTTTTGTGTTTTTTTTTAATGTGTTTTTTTAAAAGAGTTGTGATAGAGAGCATTAGAGTTGGAGCGCCAATACCAACTTTAATGATGTAGCAATACATAAAAAAAAAATGCAACATCACAGGCTCAAATATCAAATCATAAAATAAAACTCACTTCTAGAACTTCTCTAGAGCTCCTCATTTAGAGGTCTCAAACATTTTTATTTTTGAAATAAACCCCATTATTTTTGCAGTGCAAGCTTGCAGCAAACTTACCAAGAATAGAATGTTCCCACGTATTATATGGTGTAATACTTTTTGGAGAGTTTGATGGAATTGGGTTGCTTTCATGTACTTTAAATATTTTAGTTTCTTCAATTGTAGGGTTTTAGTGTGGACCCCTAATTTAATGAACTTTAGGGTTTTTGGCTGCACCCCCAAATCTGAATCTGAGTTTTTGGACCACACACACCAACCCCAAAAGCCTACCCTAAAATTCAAATTTCCCCATCCCTTTTGTGTGTCTTGTGTTAAATGCTCATACCCAGTTGACTGAATATCGCAGAGGCCCACTAGCTTGACTTTAAATAATAATATGGAGATATATATTAGTGTTGAGAAAATATTCCTAAATGTGAATCAATATCAATCTATGTTAGTCAATATATTAATAAATATTAGTATTATAGGTTTAAAATCTTAACAAAACACTAACCACATGATATTTGATTTTAGTAAATATTGTTGGACTTTAAGGTTGGGGGAAAGATAGCCTCGAATAAATGAGAAGTGTTTTATTGTGACCTTTATACAATTATAATGAAGAACTTTAAATTATTATTTCAAAATCCATCCTAATAAAACTTTCATTTTACTTTACAACGTGTAAGTGTATTGCATTCATTCATATTAGGCTAAGAAACAAACTTGACTTCTGTTCATCTTTTCTATTAGAGAGTTCATTTTGCATTGTAGTGGGCTCATTATGTGTCCACCTGGGCGATCTAAGCTGTTCAAATTATAGAATTTGTCGAGCAAATTACATATGCGCAATAATCAATCAATTTATATATTTGTATTAAAAAAATAGACAAGTATATTTTCAAAATCATACTTATTGTTCATATTTTTTTATAAGAAATGTTATCCAATTAGGTAATTGTTGACGTTCAGTCAACTTAATTATTTTACATTAATGATTTACTCAACAAATTTTATAATTTAAACAGTTCGAACACCCAAACAGACCAACAATGGGCCCACAACAATGCCAACTTAATCCTCCAGTACAAAACATCAACTGGAAGTGCAAACCCCAGATTCTACCTCCTTTTGACAATGACAAGCATAGTGACATGCATTTGAAATTCAACATCAAAATATTTCTCTTATGTTTCGTTTCTAATGTCTAGTGTCAGCAATATCTTCAAGAAAGAGAGATTGCACCAACATAAGAGAGATGAAAAAAAAAAAGAAAAAAAAAGGTAGGTAGTTACATGCACTAATAAGGGCAAATAATCATTGAAAAGGGCATTTGTAGTAAAATTGTAGCTAATATGATAAGCACCAATTATTAAAGGGATTAGCCCTTTCTTGAATTTTTTTTTTTTTTTTTAAGAGTAATTTTATACAATTAACAAATTTTATGAACTTTTTTTATTTATTGCCACATAATTTTATACAAACTAACAACTGTTATAAACTTTTCTTGTATACTAATGTGGCATATATCATTTCATTGAATTTAAATTCTAAAATTTCATTAGTTCAAAAAAAAAAATCTAAAATTTCATTAGTTTAACACATTTATTATAAATAAATAAATAAAATTTACTATTAGTTGGTATAATATTTTCCTTTTTTAAAACTTCTTTGGTACCAACTGGCTTGGCCGGTTATATTTAAGAAGGGAATGACTCAGCTCAGGTCATGTCTTTATACCAATAAAAAATCCTTGCATTTCTTTTCGTTCAAATGATCAATATTTTTTTTTCCCCCAAAAAAAAAAAAAAACCTTATTAAAAATATATATATATATATATAATCCCCTTAGACACGTGGCATCTTCATATTGTTGGTTTGGCCTCCAAGCATTGCAGGTACAACCGTAACTAGCACTAACTCATCTTCATCAACAAGTACACCATTTAAGCTCTGACAAACTGTTGAGATCATCACCCTGTTTTCTTCTTAACTGCCATCTCCATTCTCTCTCTAATCTTCCTCTTCTTCACCCTCCCAGTTGGATATCAAGACCCTATACACTTTCACATGAGAGTGATGAGCAACTCAAAATTTTGAATCCAACTAGAGGGGAAAAAAATCAGATCAGATAACAAACCATTGTCATGCTAAGATAATTGAAAGTGGTTATCCCATTGTTCTCTTGTATCTATCTTGCATTGTCTTCTAGTACTGACCTTGTTTACATGTCAAAAATGTCCTTTGATCTGGTTGGCGGTTGTGGTTAGGGAGGACTATCCGCAACAAAAAATTTTACCAAATTGGATGTGACCACACAGTTTGATCTCCGTACACTGTTTCTGAACTTATCAAAAGTTTATCCTAAAAAAATAATAATAATAAAATCATTTCACATATGAAACGATGACCTCTAAGCTTGTTGATGGCAGAATTATAGGGTTGTAGCGAGTCACCATGAGCGAAGTTCAGTTGACCATGACCTGATGTTCAGGACTAATGCATGTGTTTGTGTTTGTGCTTGTGCTTGTGTGTGTGCACACTAATTCATATTACTTGCTTCGCAAAAGAGAAGATCCACGATTGGTAATCTGATGGTTTGTAAGGATTCTAATCCATATCAAACAATGAATATTAACCGAAACACGCAATTCAACCTAATGGTATCATTAGTATCCATTACATCTCCTACAGTAATTTAACTAGAAATTGAATAGGTCGTACACAAATTAAACCCAAAAAAATATTTACCAAGAATGTACATGTCATCATGATAAAACCTACAAAAGGCATCCCCCTTAACCGATTATTTTCACCCAAGGTGATATTTTCATATGGTTTAATACTATGTATGTAGACTGATTCCTAGAAATTAGACGGCAACTACATCATCAACCTCAGTACAAATCAAATGTAGAAGACTGAACAAGCTAATATGATCATTTCCGCCTCATAAAAAAACATCAAATTTATAGACATCTTCCCGAGCTTGCAGATCCAGCAGTGCAAAAGATGCCAATCATCACAAATTTTTAAGGTCTTGTGTAATTTACAGACTACAGAGTTCACAATAAGAGATTCCGTTTCATTCAATAAAATCCAAATTGTATAGTCTAATCATTTGGTTAAGTGCACGCATTATACTATATTAAATTTCACAATTTACAAAGCTTTGAAATAGCATCAACCAAAGAAGAAAAATGCTCGTACAAATAGACAATTATATTGGAATCGCATAATGACATGAATCCTTTAAACTAGTTGATCAAATGACGCATCAGCTGGCTACAAGCTAGAGATCTAACCTTGCCTCACTAGCCGCCACACAATCCGTTGTCAATGCATCAGAATGTGAAATCAGTCCAGAGCTACGAGGGATCCCAGCTACACACAGAAAGTTCACAATTGCATCCATCAAGCAGTGCACACCTCTCCAAATTCCAACTCACCCTGGATCTTTTACATACAACTCGATAAAAACATATCAATAATACTTCGCCTTGAGAATGAAACTAACATAGCAGTTGGGACTCAGGACAACCATATGCACATAAATACGATAGAGAAAGCAGCCCTTTCCACACTGATACCATCAAGCATCCCAGTTGACCCTAACTGTCCGCCTATTAGAAGGCCCACATTGAATCTGAAGTGAGATTGGAGGGTTCAAATAGTTGTTGCCTCTCCCTGCAGATCTCCTTGCTTTGTCTCTGCTATCCTCTCTTCTGGCTGGCTGGCTGTTCACAGAACGCTTTGATTTTGACAGAGTCGGCCTTTTTGATCTATCAGTTTCATAAGATATTGGTTGAAGTCCTTGCAAATCAGGTTCAGGAACAAATCCAATAGGTCGTTTTGATTCATCCATTTTCCTGAAAGTAATTGATATCCTAGAAGGACAATGAAATAATAAAAGATAAAAATAAATAAAAAACAGAAATCAACATCATCAGGTCAGTCAAACAAAAAAGCAAATAGTGTATGAGCAAACATGACTGAAGAAGACGAGTATACAGACAAAACTCTGCACCTTTTTGTAGGAACTGCTGGCACACAATGCTTAGCCACATCAGCGCCATTTCCATTTAAAACAAAGACAGATCTGAATAAAAATATATAAACCCATAATTGAAGAAAATGATTTCTCATGAATAATTATCAATCAATTAACAATTAAATACAACCAGCAGCTGATTTCAAAAGGAGAGAAAGCGTGGAAGTTGAAAGGCACCGCATACTTACCCAATAGGCAGGGGAATTGCAATACAACCACTGAACTCACCAGCATCCACAACCTTCAAGTCTGATCCAAACAGTAAATCGCACTCACTAAGAAATGAAACGGTACAAAAAGGTCGAACAAAATCATGGTTGTCAATGTGAGGAGGTATGCAGTCCCCTTCTTCGTAAATGTTGACTATGCAACTGTCAGGTACACAAGTTGGAGGAAGAACATGCCATCTCACAAGCCTCCTGATGATCATCTTAAAAAGAAGAGGTATAGGATCTACAGTTATATTCTGAAGGATGCCTGGCGGATTACCATTTTTATCCTGTGACCAGAAAATAGATATTGTAAGCTTCTTTTTAACTGCTTTGTTTTCTTCTCTCATTCTCAAGTTGTCACCAAGGTATGAAGGTAAAAACAAATAAGCCAATGTATAAATAAGCAACATATTAAGAGACTTACTGTCGCATAATTGTAACAGCAACCAAATTGAATAGTCACACGCCCCTTGCCCTTCATCCACTTCTGGGGTGCAGTGTAAGTGCGCTCTGCATGGACAATACAAACAGGTAATGCTAGCCATTCAGCATAGATACTTCTGACCAATTAATTCATGGAAGTCTGACACATTAAGAATGTATGAAAAGCACTTCTATTTCCAGAGAACAAATTAATGAAATTTCAACCCAATTCATTACTTAATTTAAAAAATAGATAAATACAAGAACATCTAATAACTATCCATATCCAAATATATGAAGACATCCACAAAATAAAATGTCCAGGGTTATAATCACTACTCATTTGTTTTATGGAAAGCAACATTAAAATACATATTATCCATAAAACTAACCAACAATTACATGACAGATTTTACCTTGAGCATGTAGGAAGAATACAATAAATATCGATTGCCCCTCATCCACTCCTTCACTGAACAAAGCAGACAACTGACAATTTGAAGTTCAAAAAATCACGAATCTATTTTGGGCATGACATCATCAGGCTTCTCTCGAGTAAAAATGTCTAACAGTTTATGGAAAAGGTTGTACTCAGTGCACAAGACTCCCACTAACAGCATGGTCCAGGAGGGCAAGACATACACAACCATATCCGCATTTCTGGTTACATAAAACTAGACTAGTTTATTTTATCCCTAATGAACATATGACACCTTTCCCCCTTTTTTTGTGGAGAGGCTGATTCTCGTGACTCGAACCCATGCCACAGCGCTGGGAGTGGATAGCACTTGCAATCGGCCCATCACTCACGTCACATAAGCAGATTGTACATAAATATTTATAGCATATAATTCTTCCGTAACTAAAGTCACTATGAATCTCCTATCAAAGTAAAATGAAATGAACAATAAAGGTATTGATTTTTGTAGATATAGGAAATGCAAAGCGAAGAAGAAAATGAAGAAAACAAACAAACAAATTTTCTAATTAGTTTTGTAAATATTTGTTAAAAAATTGCAAAATTTTTTGGCAACCACTAATTCTAATCTAAGTAGTTCTATGACCAAACCATCTGGGATGAGGAGACATGCCACTAATGTACTCCTCATTCTGAACAACTTGATGGACATATCTACGGACATACAACTTCATTGGGAAACTTATGATATGAGGCAATGAAGGCAGAGTTGCTCAGGTCAGGCAACCAATCAGGACAACTCAGATTGACCTGTCATCTATGAAGCACGGGTACGGATATGGGTACGTCGATATGGTAAAATTCACAAAAAATAAGGTACGGGTACGGCTTGGTATGCTTGTAAAAAATATTTATTTTTAATTTAGAGTAATGCAAAAATTAATTAAATGGTTTAATTTGTTAAGATCCAACCTATAATTGACATTTAATGCCAAAAATAAAAGTATAAATCAAAATTAAATGTCAATATACTAAATAACTTACAAATTATAGTTTAATTTTAAAATCATGCTAAGCATCAAACAAAAAATAAAAAAGAAGTCTAGTGAAATAAGTTTTATCTCTGTAGTAGAAGGAAAATATTGTTTCAACTGAGGTATGGTACGACTTAAATATATACTAGGTACGTCTGGGTACGTCAAAAATTAAGAAGAAAAAACTTGGGTATGTGTTTCGTGTACCTGGTACGTATGTAGAAGTACCATACGAGATACGGTACGCCGGTAAGTACCCGATACGGGTACGGCAAGTTTTCTGAAGTACCCATGCTTCATAGCCTATCATTGTTGCTCTTCTACTTCTTCAACAATGGAGAACTTTGACACAGATTGTCTCAAGATTCCCGAACCACTCCAAAGTTTATGGAAGTTATAAACAGAGAATTTCAAAGTACAACCTTGTCTGCAGGCTGTGCTGAGCCATGAACATGGACCAGGAACGTGGCTCCTAATTACTAAGTGGTGGAGGAAATGACCATTTAAGTAAAAAAACCAGACCGTGGGAATTGTACATATCATACAAGAACCTAGTCTATTCTTAGTTCAATGAGCAACCATCCTAACACAAGATTAACAAAAGATTTTTTTTTTTTTTTTGATAAATAAACAAGATTAACGAAAGATTAAATTACAGAAAGCAACAAGATAAAAGAAACTACAAGAACTTTTACCAGCATTACATCAAAGTTTGTGGGGACTAACAGTGGGATGAATGGACTGACCTTTCAATTCACCTTTCTTTCCCATCTCCTGAAGCTTGTACACATAATCAACAATCTTCTTCTGCTCTGCATCATTGAAAACACCAGTGTGAAGCTCCAGCCCCTTTAGGATGTTAACAATTTTTCCCTGAACTCTCTCCAAACAAATAAAATCCTTCTTCCTATCCACACTACTGAACCGAATGTACTCCCTCTGCCGAACCTTCACTGCCACTGATTCCTCTCTGGACAGAGCATGCCCATTAACTGTCTGCAAACTTACTTGAGTCTCTTCATACTCCTCAAGTTCATCTTCCTCTGCCATGTCAGCCCACGACATCTGCACCCTCGGGCTCTCAACAGGCACTGCTGGTGATCCAACTGTTTCGCTTGTCAAGGCCTCGGTAACATGTTCTGACCAATCATTTTCCGCCCCATCTTTCCAACTCCCGAGTGAACTTGTATCTGCTGTATCATTCATATCAGAGAGAACCTTCCCTTTACCCAGTGAATTTGTATCGCAACTGTCTTGGTTCTCATTGAATTCATTTGGGTCCAAGTTGTCCAGAGTTGAAAGTGTTAAATTCTCTTCTTGTTTTAAGGGTGGTTCCACAGCTTCATCAACTTCTACAAATATCCCAACAAAAGACACCAATAACATAATAGCAATTCTATATATATATATATATATCACTGGTTTGTTGCTATATATATCACCGGTTACATGGCAAAATATCACCGGTTACATGGCAAAATATTAGTCTCTTCACTCTCTCCTTAACATGAAAATCAAATATGATGACACCGCAAAATATTATTCACAAATAGGGACAATTATTCATGCTTAACAAATAATTTCCAAACAGAACAATGAACCAACTACGGTTATCCAAGTAAAAGGTGATACAGAAGGATTGTAAATGAGCCGAACCAAGCCAAGCTTTGCAGTTCACTAAGAATTAGTTGAGCTCGAGCTCAAATCAAGCTTAAAAAATTGAACTCAAGCTCCGCTCCTCAAGTATTTGAGAAAACCAAGCTCGGCTCCACTCAAATATTTAGTCATTTATTTCATTTTTCATTCTCTCAAAATATTATTCGTTTACAAAAATAATATAAATTTTTTATTTTATTTTTTTTTTAAATTATTAACAGCATAAAAGTACAATTATCATATCGATTTTTTCAAAAAATATACTAACAAAAAATTATTTTAAAAAATTATTTTTTTTAAAATACGATATTGTACTACCCAAAAAAAAAAAGTTAGATTCTCAAAACGACTATTATTTTAATAAATTTCATTAATGAAATATGTTAATTTAAACAAACACCAAACATAAATAAATAGAGAAAAAAGATAAATTAATTCTATTCAGAGCCTAAATCGGTTCAGAAGTGAATATTAAAATAAATAAATAAACAAAGAGTACATGTGTATATCCATAGATATTTGCAAAAATAAAGAAGAAAAGAAATACCTGAGGGCAGGGATCGAATACGAGCGGAGAGGGTGTGAGAGCAGTGGAGGCAGAGACCTCGGGAGAGAAAAGGGAGCCAAATGGAGAGAAACTCGGAAGCGATTCGAAGATCGTTAGCGTTGTACTTCACTAGTAACGGGTCCTCCCTTGGAGCTCCCTCTTCGCCGTTCATGACTTCTTTTTTTGTTGCTCACCCGAGTCAACCCGGAGAATCGGTGGCTCTATTATTATTGTGATTGCAGAGGAGGAGAGGAGGCACAACACGAAAATGTAGAAGAAATGAAATGAAAAGAAAAGAAAAATTTCTATGTACTATTCTGCTTGCAGACGACGCACCAGGAAACACAAATTTCGTGACTTTTGGACCTTTTTTTCAAGTCAAGTCAAGCTATGAATAAATAAAAATCCTATAAAAAATTTGGTACCTTTTGATTAGATTAGAAATTAATCAAAATAATTTAATTAAGGAGTGTTTAACATAATTTATATAAATATATTTATTTTAATTATATTATTTTTTAATATTTTTACATAAATTTTATAAAAATATCAAAAAAAATATTTTTATTTAGATGATCCCAAATACCCCTAAAGTTAGGCAAAGGACACTCCACCCACACAACTTATGGGTTAAGAAATGTGTTGATTACGGGAGGGAGCAAACTGCTTTAGTCACCTTTATTTAATTTTTTTCCACATCATCTCATTTTCCTTTAACTCCCCATTATTTCTACCATAACCCCACCACATAAATGGCTTCGATTGTGGTTTTGAAAAATAATGATTGAAAGAGGAAGAGAAAAACTTTAAAAATAAAATTTATTTATTTATAAATTTTGATTGATAAATTTATTTATAAAAATAAGAGATATTGAGTTATGACTTATTGTTCTTACGAGTAAAAAACTATTACCCCATATCAAATTTTTAAATAAACTACTCTAAGTCAAATTTTACACTTGAAAGTAGTCGTTTGGCGTTTGTTTCTTTAGTTGGCTTTTTTGAATTCAGACTTTTTTAATTTAAAACTAAAAAATTCATTTGGTTTAACTTTTTTGGCACTTTTGACTTATGTAAGAGAAAAAGTAAAATTATTATAATTTGGATGTAATATTTTATTTTATTAACTTGTTTAACCTATTTTGTTTTTTGTATTCTTTTAGCCCAACTAAGCTAGCCAAACGAAAGTGAAACAATTTAAGGGTAAAAGAACAATTAGCCCATATAGATCCTGTTTGGTGTATCTGTTAAAACAGATTATAAATTATAACTTAACAGATTATAGATTATAACTTTAATCAGAAACTGTTAATCTGTTTGGTGTAACTATTGGATTATAGATTTAAGTTGCTAAGTAGTATTTGTTAAATAAGCTGTGAAGTAACTTTTCAATTAACTTTTATTTTTTATTATTCATTATTTGTCTACATTTCTCATAAAAAATAATAATAATATTCTATGGTCCATTTCGATCTTTTTCTATTTTTAAAAAAATAAAAAATAAAAAAATCTACGAGTATAACCGTAAATTAACATGTCCACAGCAGAAACTGATAATCAGAAGCAAGAGATGAGCAGCTTTTCAGAATCAACTTTTTTGATTTAAAATAAATTGTTAGATTCAGAAGCTATCTGAAATAAGTTTAACCAAACAATCTAAAATAACTTTTTAAAAGCCAAAAGTCATAAATTGACTCAAAAAAATCCCACCAAACACCCTCATAGTGTTACTCTAATTTAAAAATTACTTTTTAAAATTCAATATAATAATCTATTAGAATATCTAAAACAACTTTCTCTCTCACGTCTTTTATAATTATCAATCAATCGTCTCCTTTACACATCAATGTGTCTTCAAAATAAGTCTAAAAAGTAGACTTCTACATTATTTTTTAAACTAATGTCAAAAACCACCATTTAAATCTCATAACCATACTAGTCTCTTTTTTTTCTTTTTCTTTTTAAATGTATTGTGTCATGGAAGAGAGACCATTAGAATGCCATCTACAAATCAAAGTACAACCTATGATAAGTTCACTGGTTCACTTCTAGTGCAAAGAATCAAGCTCTTCAAGAAGTTCGGGTTGTTTGAAGACATAAATTGAATTGCCAGATGCATCAAAGGAGTTGATGGGAATGAATTCCACCGTGTTGATTTTTGTTAATCCAGCCCTCAACCTCTACCACAGATAGAGTCTCCTCCCACCAGTGTGAGGTAAGCCTACCATAGTTTGATTAAACCGTACTCTTCTTTTTTGGGACAAGATTCCGTAGCAACAGGTATGATGTGTGCTGCCATTTGAGGTGTTCAAGATGAAAGCATTTATAACTCTTTCACCATATGAACAATCTCTTTTGATTTGATATGTGATTCAACCTTAACAAAAGCTGAGACAAGATAATAAAATTAACAGAACACGGTTCAGATGCACATAACATAATTATTACCGACTGGTGCTGGAAGGACACAGCACCTTAACAATTAAACAAACTCACACCTGCTCACTCTCATAATCAAAAACTGCTAAATTTTCAAAGTACATCCAATTGGGGATTGCAAGATCACTGTCACCGTCTCCTATCATGTCTTAACAGAACAAAATGAGTTTATAATTTTCATTTTTCCACCAGCAAATCATAAAATGGAAGAACACAGAAAAACCTTAACCGAGTACCTACAGATGATACAACAATGTAAAGGCCTCTTCATGGATCTGCTACTGCTATGCAACACTCACCGGCTGAGCAAGTGCATCTTTCTGAGTCTTGCACCTGTAAAAGACAAATGACTCAACATTTAGCCAATTGATGACAGAAACTTGGCATCCAATATGGTGACATTACCATATATAGAAATATAACTGCCCAAATAAGGCTAATTTGCAAACCACTGCAACAAGTAAGAGGGAAAATCAAAGGTCTCAATTTACTAACCTATTACATTGGGATCGAGATGCATAATTGTGATTGTTGCAATTCGTGCACATCCAATCCCCATCACGCCATTGCTTCGCTCTGCCAAGTCAGAGGAACATCAGTATTACAGATCTTAATCACAAATGCACATGTCAGAACACTAAATGGTGGGTACTTGATAAACAAACTTGTATAAACTACCCATGTGCTGGTGTGTGTGAGTGAAACTGAAGAGACATCTAAATTTCATTCTGTGTTATAAGGTTTCTGATGTAAGGTCCAGAGGATTTAGAAAACAAGAAGCAAAAACAAAAGAGACGTGTCTATTAACAATTCGAAATAATTAAAGAAAAAAGCATTATACATCTTCACAAAAAGCCTATTCAATTCGTCCTATATGAATGCAGTTCATGTGTGAAACAAAGTGCATGAATTTTACCCTTTGCCAAGGAGAGTAGGTGTTGCTACTACATGTGGAAACTGAAAGTTCACTGGTAAATTTTGAACCGTTGCTGAGCTTCCACTGGTATAGGAGGAAGGGGGATATATGCCAGTTGTTTGACTGCCACCAGAAACTGCAGCTTGATCAAACGCTGGGTATGCATGCTGAAGCCCAAGTGTCTGATTTCCAGAAAATGGGTGAGAAAAAAGCAAAAGAAATCTGACAAACCAGGGTACAAGAGCAATGAAATTGATCTAGAACCATATAATAACCTGTCCGGCATTCAGTCTCTTGTTATCCCAGTCATGAACCAACTCTTCAGATGCTAATCGCTTCGTTCCAAGTGCTTTATAGACAAAAGGAGAAAAATATACAAATTCAGTAACAGAAAATGCTGTAGACACATTTATTGGATACTTATTATATATTTGCATTTAACACTATCATTACATGTATATATTGTTGTATAATTCTCACAAAATGAGTAAAATGCCTTTTTGACACTATATGTTACATATAACACCATTTTATCTACAGTTTAAACATGATAAAAGACCTCTTTTTGCTAAGTCTACGTATCCTTAAATTTGAGAGTTTATGGATCCGACCACTAGATACACACTCTCACCCAACACTCATACCTGAGTCCATGTAATATAGATTAAACAAACCAATAGCATTCTAAATGGAAGTACAGTAAAATTCTCGTTCTTTTGACGAGTAGGTTTTATAGGATCAAATTTTCACTCAATGAATAGAAAGTGTAGTTTTGATAAAGTCCCTAGGATTTCTTTTCACAATAAGCATGTCTCTCTCCCACAATGTGAAAATTGTTCCTACAAGGAGAGTGTTAATACTAGATATATCAAACGTATATTAGTGTGTCCGTGACAATTGTAAAGTGTGGACAGAAGACTAAGGGCAGTTGTATGAACGAACTGTATTATGTGGCTGATAAAGGAAACTTGGTTTCTTAAAGATTCAGAATATGAAAATGAATCCAAACACAAAGGCTGAACATAAATCCCTAGACCTGGACATGTTGCTTCTTTAGAAGTAAGGCAACAAACAATGAGCATTAAACAATAACAATCAAAATAAATTATTATCAGATCAAAAACAAATGAGAAGGATTTATTTGGAGAAGAAATAGAATCATTTCTGCAAAATGCTCCACTGCCATCTAAAAACAAGCAGTGTAACATTCCCAGAAGCAATCCTGGGGAGCTTTTATTTCCACTCACAATTTTGTCTCAGCTCACATACCATTTTTGTTTGGTGGAAATCAACTTCCGAGCTAAAACCAATGTTTTGGAAATCAATTTACAAACCAAAGATATAGCCGAATTATAAGATTCTGTTCAGAAATTGATTTATACGCCATGTAATTTTGATTGATATCCGAACCAAAAAAGTATGTGAACTGA